CCCTACTATAATTGTGTTGCTGTCAGTATCTTTCTTGAAGTCCTCTGAGATTTTCCTTATATATTTGGGTGCTCCTATGTTGGGTGTATATATATTTACAATGTTTGTGTCTTCTTGATGGATTCTTCCCTTGAATATTATAAAGCGACCTTCTGGATCTCCTTTTATGACCCTTGTTTTGAAGTCAATTTTGTCTGATGTAAGTATTGCAAACTTGGCTTTTTTTTTTTTTTGCCTGTCCAGTTGATTGTAATATTTTTTTTACAGCCCTTCACTTTCAGTCTGTGTAGGTGTTTTGTTCTGAGGTGGGTCTCTTGTAGGCAGCACATGTGTGGGTCATGTTTTCTTATCCATTCATCTATTCTATGTATTTTGATTGGAGCATTTAATCCATTTACATTTAAGGTTATTATTAATAGTTATTCATTGCCATTTTACTTCCTTTGTACCTGTGTTCCTCTCTCTCTCACTACAATGACATTTTTACCAGACAGTTCTTAAGTTGTTCTTCCATGGGATACTTTTCCTTGCATTCCTTAATTGCAATATTTATACAAAAAAATCAAATGATTATGTTTTCCAATATATAAAATGTGACAAAATAGGTAAATGGATAAAATTAGCCTTTTATTAAAAAGTACCTTTGATCGTGCTTTTTAAAAATTATTTTAGTGCTAGATAAAATTCTAGCAATAAAATTCCAAATGTAGAAAAAAATTCTACAAGTGCTAGATATTAAAACAAGATTTTTCTGCTTCCACATAGGCAAATATGTACACAGTATTTTACTAATATATGATTTAATTTTTTGTGATGCATGTTGATTATCATACTCATTTATTTCAATAATTTTATGTACTATAAAATTAGTATTTTATCTTGCAAAATTATATGAATATTGAAAGATTTAATATATGAAGACTGACATGTTGCTCTTAAAATAAAATGCCTTTTTGATTGTGTAAAGCTTGATCAAATGTTGAAGTCTACTATCTGTCACCAAAGGCAGGATGAGTTTTAAAAGGTTGTTCATGGTTCTACTACAATTTTCTGTTGTTCAGTCAAGTAACCAAAATGTGAGATAGGTATTTATTATTTAAATTTATTACTTTATTTTCATGATTGGTAATAACTGCTCAGTTTTTAATATGCACAACTTATAAGCATTCAAATCATTTGGGTTTACATCTACAATTATTTTTTACAAACTTACTAGACACCTGGAACTAGGCTAATACCAAAATATGTGTGACACTTTCTTTTTTCACATACTACATCAGAGATTGAAAGAAAACTGGATGTGTACCAGAGAGGTCACTGCTGGAAATGAAAAATCCTTGTCCAAAGGCTGTTCAAAGTTCTCTGATTAATGAGGCCAGAAGTAGTAACTTCACGAAGGATAATTTTCCCTAGTTTAGACCACTACTGTCTACATCCTCTGGAATAGAAAGTGGGGGGAAAGTTAAAGTAGCAAAGTTTTCCTGAGAGATATTTTGAAGGAATAATAGGCTTGTAAATTATTTGACATAGAGGTGTTGAAATTGTGGATATGACTAAGCAGCTGGGATGAGAGGGGAGCACCGATGTCAAAAGAAGCAGATTCAAACAGGGAACGAGAAATAGTTCCTGTTCGGTTAAAGGCAGTGGAATTGGAGGTGCCTGAGGAATAGCTTGTGGAGGAGTCGTTGGAAATTTCAGTCTGACGCATCAGACTGGACTTGGAAAATATAGATCTGTGAACGCATTAAAGAACATGAAGGAAAAAACATGCGAATAGGAACATCGATGAAGAAACATACAGAAAGAAAAAGGAGGTCTGGCGTAGAATTATGGGCAAAACAGATGTTTGAAGGATTAAGGGAAAAGCATCCAAATAGAAGGTAAAATGATCCAAGCATTACGATGGTAATAGTGATGTAAAATAAAAATAAAATAGAATTACAGGATGAAACACTATTCAAGGACTCCGAGTGCATCTCAGAAATCAAGTAGAGAACTGAGAAAGTGATTGTATTGGTGATAATGAGTCAGTAATGAACCTCCCCATTGTGTTCTCTAGGGATCAGATGCTGAGGAAGAATCAGAGAGCAAAATGGTTTTTCTTTAGAAAGTAGCACTGTGAAAAAAGAAGAAAACTATTCTCTGTACTCATGAGACGAACCTGCACACAGAAGCAACATACATTGATATTTCTCTCCTTCTCTCCTTCCCTTCCCTTCTAAAGATAAATAAATAAATTAAAAAAAAACACAGCCCAATAACAAACACATCAAAAGATTATGGACCTTTGCTGTAAACTATTAAAAAAAAAAAAAAAGAAAAAAAGAAAACTAAATTGGGTAAATAGGGTCTAGGACAGTGATAAAGACCTGACGAAGTTTCTGCCAAACAAGACAGGTTGCTCCAGAGCAAGGGAGCACCAGAGCAAAGACTGTTCGACAAAGGAGACAGTTGAGGACTTTGTACCACTGGCTCATTCAGTAGTTGAACTGATGGTCATATAGTTGGCTAAGGCAGATGGTAAAACAGCTAAGAATTTGAATCTGTCAGTTAACCACACTCCTCCTTGAGTAGCAAATGTTTCCTCGAAGGAGGATCTGCATGGTGCATTTTTCTGCTCACCAAATAGACCTTCCTAAAAGCTGGCAGAACAGCAGGGGCAGAAGCCATCGTGCAGGAAGTTAGAAAGGAAACTGAGACAAGATGATGCAGATATTGGAAGAGGTAGCCTGTTTTTTAGCAGAGCCAAAGAAAGTGCCAATTAGAGCGGCAGCAACTTGACAAGGGTGAAAGTTGATGAAAAGGAGTGTTAGAAAATAAAACATGAAAGTAAGGAGAAATTAAATCACACTTTGAAAGAGACAGAATTAGACATTAAATTAATAATCTTTTTCCTTTTGAAAATTAAAGAAGGGAGGAATATTCTGCCAAAAGATGTAACATTTAGAGTGATAAGAGTAATAGTCCAGATGTTAAGAGGCACTGTTTACTGTGGGACACAGATAATAGTCATATTTTCCAAATTTGATGGTAAGCTACAGAGGGCAGGGAGACCCCTATTTTCTTTTAATGTCCATTTTTTTGCTGTACCCAGAACAATGTCTAGCACATAAGTACTCCATAACAGGCTGACTGAATAAATATTTGTTGAACTAGCTAATGAAGCAGCTACACAGCTTATTAACCTATGTGACATGCAAGGGGAAAAAACTGCGAGAGAAACAGTAAGAGCACTGTGTAGAACACTGCTATATGTGCTGTAGCAATTTCCCAACAATTTTCAGTGGATGAAAAATGGAAGCATTGTTATGGACATGAAGCACATACACTTGGTAGTGAAAATAGTGGAAAAATACAGTGTTGCTTCAGAAATGCTTGTGTGAAGGCAGGCCCTGTGGTTGGAGGTGCAAAACAAGCGAGGCCACTTCTACTTCCATCCCTACATTCCTGGACCTGCAAGTCCTTTCTATTAGCAGCACCTTAAGGATGTCTGGATTAATAAATACACAGGGTGGGGCAAAAGTAGGTTTAAAGTTGTGAATACATGAGACAGAATTTATTTCTGTATTCTTACTTATTACTATATTATTTCCCATACAAACAACTGTAAACCTACTTTTGCTTCATCTTGTGCTGTACGTTAAGGATATTGCATTTGTCAAGGTTCTTCACAGAAGCAAAATACATGATGGATGGATAGATGGATAGAGAGAGATATTTTAGGAATTTTGCTCATTTGTCCATGGAGGCCAAGAAGACCCATGTCAATTCTAGATCTACAAGCTAGAGAACCAGGAGAGCCAGTGATAAAATCAACCCGAGTCTGAGGGCCAGAAAATCTGGTACTGAGGATGTAAGCGCTGGATCTCAGTCTGAAAGCCCAAGAATCAGGAGCACCGATGTCCAAAGACAAGAGATGAATGTCTCCACTCAGCCAGACAACAAATTGCTCTTTCACTGTTTCGTTCTGTTCAGGCCTCAATTTGTCAGAGTGATGCCCACTCGCTTTGGGGAGGGCCATCTGCTTTACTCAGTTCATCAATTCAAATGCTAATCTCTTCTGGAAATATGCTCACAGACACACCCAGAAATAATGTTTTACCACCTATCTGCACATAGAGCTCAGTCAAACTGACACCATCACAGATATACCATCACAGATAGCATTCTATTGCTTTAAAATACCTCCTTCAAACAGGTGCTTCATTTCACCTATTAGAAAAGCTATTCAAAAGTTGCATGAGGCTAGGTGGTGCATCCTGAGAAACAATCAGCAGCGGATCTCGTGGTCATGCGCTCGCTCCCACACCTCATTTACCGTGAAGTGGGTTCCCTGGCCAGATGCCATGCAATGTGAGATTCTACATCTGTGTATTTCAACATGTTAAGAATCATATCAGCTATCCCATATGTAATAGTGCTGCCTATGGCTCTGCAAGTGGGAAGGACAAAGCAATAACTGAATAGGTACCTCTTCCTAAACAGAACAAAACTTTGGCCCCTTCTAGGTTGGAAGAAGTTCTGATATGATCAACTTGCCATCAAGTGAGAGTTGCTTTCCTTTAAAAAACTCTGACCAAGTCGTTCTGTCTATGTGGTTGCTTACTCCCTTCTCTGTGCTGGATGTTTTCCAGTGGGCACTGGCACGCGATACAAAAACATTCACATCTGGTGCCCATTCCCGTAAGTCCATCCACACGCCTCTGCCCCAGAGCCCCTTGTATCTATAACCGGAAGACCAACCAAACCATTCATAACTCAGGCTTTTCCTTCACTTTTAGTGGTCATATGCAAGGTATAATCTGTTACCTCTCAAGTCCAAATTCATTATTCACTATTTGATCTGCAATAATGGATCAAAATCTAGATATTTTCTCCATTATAGCAGGGCAATACCAAAATTTGCCAGTACAGCACACCAGAGGGACATTGGAGGAACGAAACACCCTTGGTGTGTAATGTGCTTTACCTTTGCTTATTCCTGCTGCACTGGAAATTACCTGTGCCACACGTGAGGACCTGCCATGGTGCTGTACTCCTTGCACGCATATTGCCAGAATACGTTGGCCTTCAGTGATCTCGCAAGCCTGGCCTGGATCCACTAACCACACTCTTGTGATCCTGCTGACATGGACATCATGGACTTCAGGCTGCAGCTCCTGCAGTGCCATCCCAGCACACTCTGTGGAACCCCACACCAGCTGTGACTCACCTGTGCCTGTCCTGACCTGGACACTGTGCACTCCAGCCCTCACACATGAAGTGGCGTTGATTCTCTCAGCAACACTAGCTGGAGGTGTGATTTCTGCTTTCTCCATGTCTGTGGACCAGTTCTGGTCTAGTGGCCAAGTAGACATAAATCACACCTTGTCCATTGAGGTCTGAACTCCAGCCTTGCAGAGTGGCCACCCTTACAAACGGTACCCTTCCTTGGGGACTATCCTCACACCTCAGGTACCACAGAGTTCTCTTTATGTCATTATAATTAGTTTTCTATTGTAGCTTATTATCCAACTTTTCTTATTTAAATTACTGTGTGACTTCTGTTCCCCGAGTGAACCCAGACTCTCTGGCTCTCAGACATAGCCAGTAACTGCTTGTTACCAGTCTTCAACCTTTTATTATCCCTCTGCAGAAGGCGTCAGTAAAACTTAGCAGTGACCAGCTAACTCTGCTGACTTTAAATGCCTGCTTTATCTCCTCTGCCACATTTCTCTCTACTGGGACAGTTTTCCTCATTACCATACAATTTTTAGAATTGTACTGCCACCTTGTGGCAGGAACTATCTGCACCCTTCTTCCCACAGGGTTCCCGTCCTTGTTGCCGCAGGACTAAGTGAACCAAGCCAAACCCACATCTTACTACTCAGTAGTTCAAAAGTTCCATGAGGTTAGGTGATGCATCATGAGAAACAATCAGCAGTGGATCTCATGGTCATGCGCTGTTCTCATTATTAATTGTTTTACACCGACTGCTCTCATTATTAATGAGCACATGGTCAAGCACTGCTCTCATTAATTGTTTTAATCCAGATCTCCAGAGAAGCAGATGCCAAGACAGAACTAAATATGCAGGAATTTCACTAGAAGGAACACTACTATATGAAAAAATGGAGATAAATATGAAATGCTAAGAAACCTGTCAGAGAGCAAAGCAAATCTGACCCCAGGTGAAGGTGAGATGGGGAGAAAACTGGAGAGAAGCGTTGTAGGATCACACAGTTTAAGGAAGGCCTGTGCAATGTGAAGAAGGTGCAGCAAAGCTGCTGGGGAGTCCTCAGCCCAGAGTCACTGTCAGTGGAGTCCCATGTCTCCATGGAATGCTCGCCCTATTTCTACCAAGGTCTGTCACTGCTTGGGAGCCGACCATGGGACGCGTGGCCTCAGCAAAATGACCCGATATGTTTCAGAGAACAGCTGCTCAGACCCTTCACCATTCGTGCTCCTTGTTCTAGGAGATTTCCAGGTACATTCCTGGCTGCCACACACCACTCTGTTTGTACACACTTATCTGCTTCCAGCCTGTCCAACTTTTAGAAATGGCTACAGGCCTCATTAGTGAATCGAGGACACTTCCAACATCAGTGTATCTCTCAGGTTAATTTGGCAGTCAACTTGGAAACTAGCAAACTGATTCTACAAGGACCTGTAGAGTTGGGGGCAGAGGGGAACCAGCCAAATCAAAGACAGCAACCCTGTCAAAGAATGCTTTAGAGGGTCTTCCATCATGGAAACTATGGCAGGTCTACACCTAGTCACACTTGGCACAGGCTTCGTGCTTTCTATTTTTTTCACAGTGTGGTAGAGAATGTAAGTAGTGCTCACCAAATAGTCTATAAGTTCTCCTGATGTTTTCCAGACCCTAGATGAACTCAGATAAGAATATATAATTAGGTCCATGACTTTGAAAAGAACCTAAGCAAGCAAGCGGACCTGGTGCTTTTGCTTCCTTAGCTTCATGATGTGTCTACTCTTGGTAACAAATATCTCAAAACACTAAAGAAGGATGTACAGCTCAAAGAGAAACAATAACAAGAGAAGGATTGTATTCAGATCTTACTTGAGTAAATACCACTGGGACAAGTCAAAGGCCAGCTGAAGGCTAGAAGCTCTGAAAGGAAAGAGGACGGTCAGATGGAGGGAGGGAGATTCAGGTCAACCTATAGGGTAGAAGGGAAAAGAGATGGTCTCCATCTTTGGGTCAGGAGGTTAGACCAGCAGGCCTCCACGGCTTCTAGGGATGAGGATCTGAGGCTGCGTTCTCCTGATTCAGAGCCTCTTCTGGATTCAGGTTGGAGGAGGGAGGGTGCAAGCTGAGGCTGAAAATACAGTAGACAGCAGACATGATTCAGGTGATTCAGGTGCAGATGATTTATTATATCATAATTTAAGCCTTCGGTAGTGACAACACAGGTGAGAAATAAATTATGGTTTTTTTCTTTCTTGGTTTAAGCCAATTTCTGATTATTTATTTGTTGTCATCCTCTCTTCAGGCCAAGGTTGTTAGGAACTGTTGCTGTAAGAGAAAACAAAACAACCAGAGTTGCTTTTTTTTCTGAGCCAACATATTTCTAATGCAAATAATTGAAAAGGCACAGGTAAACAAAAGGAAACAGTCAAGGAAATGAAAACTAAATCCAGAAGAAAACAATTATCCAGTTACCTCAATGGCAGATACTCTTAGTTTTATAATAGAAGCAGCTCTCTTAAATACTGTTTATTTATCCATATTTAGTAACTAATTAGGTCAATAAAACAAGTATCTTGACACTTCCATTCTAAGTATATGAAATGATTTTAACTTAGCTAAAGGAAACTTTGTGATAATTCTAAGTACAACCACATTTTACTTAGATGCACACACATATATATATATCTATATATTGAAATATTTTAACAATGACCATCCTTTGTGCTAAGATTAATGATAATAATTATTTATTTTGTATACCTATATTCTTTAAATGAATGCTTATTACTTGTTACTTATGTGATAACAACAGAATGATTCATACACTCAGATACATATACAAATATTTGAATGAATTAAGAAAGGAGAGTCAAGGCAGTATTTGGGCATTTCAAGGACTCTGGATGGGAAAAGATTTTAATGTTCTTTAAATCTGAAACTACCCTTCAGAATTATGAAAAATGAAACCAGTTAAACATTAAATAAAGTTAGAATTTTGTTGTAAAGTACAAAAGCAAAAATCACAAAAGTATTTTTGAAACCAATAAATAATGTTTAAAAAACAGGAAGTTATTAACACTGTGCGAAATCTAAAATCCCAACTTACATAACAGAAAAATCGGTGGAGTGAGAGATGGAAGAAGGGAATAATATATTAAGGACCCTAGTACTAATTCCACATGGTTATATGGTGTACTTTCTGTGCCGTACTCTGTATAGAAATAGCTCGGTACTAAATGGCACAGTGTAAAATAACAAAGAAAATTTCATAGGATAGTAAAAAATAGTAAAATTCAAAATACACTGTCTCTCAGAAAAGATACCACACACATGTTCAACTCACTAAAAATAAATAACTTATGAAGTTACAACTTGACTCAAACAGATTGGTGATGATCATTACAAGGAAGTCATTTGGCAATAAATACCAAAACAAGGAGTGCGTATACTGTATTTATGCTTTGATCACTCTCTTCTAGGGATTTATCCTGAGGCTATCATTGTATAATTATTTCAAAATGTGTACACCTTTAAGCATATTATTTACAGGGACTTTGTAAAAATAAAAAACTGGAAGTTGCCCTGGCTGGTGTAGCTCAGTGGATTGAGTACTGGCCTGTGAACTAAAGGGTCACCTGTTCGATTCCCAGTGAGGGCACATGCCAGCCAGGGTTGTGGGCCAGGTCCCCATTAAGGGGTGGTGCATGAGATGCAAACACACATTGATGTTTCTCTCCTCTCTTTCTCTTTCCCTTTCTGGAAATAAGTAGATAAAATCTTTTTTAAAAAAGAGTTGTTTTTAAAAAAAACTGGAAATAGTCTAAATATTCATAATAATGGAATTTTTGAAATAATTTCTTTTTAAATTGAATAGCATATGTCACAAGAGAATGATATAGGCCTAATTTTTTTAAACATTTTTTATTGATTATGCCATTACATTTGTTCTATTCCCCTCCTCCATTCCCCTCCACCCTGCACACCCCTCCCCCACCATTCCCCCCTTTAGTTCATGAACACGTGTCTCGAGTTCTTTAGATTCTGTATTTCCCCTACTATTCTTACCCTCCCCCCTATCTATTTCCTATCTACTGTCTATGCTACTTATTTTCTGTACCTTCTTCCCCCTACTCCTTCTCTCACTCCCCTGTTGCTAACCCTCCACGTGATCTTCATTTCTATGGTTCTGCTCCTGATCTAGCTGCCCTCTTAGTTTGCTTTTGTTTTAGGTGTGGTTGTTAATAATTATGAGTTTGCTGTCCTTTCACTGTTCATCTTTTTTATCTTCTTATTCTTAGGTAAATCCCTTTAACATTTCATATAATAAGGGCTTGGTGATGATGAACTCCTTGAATTTGATCTTATCTGAGAAGCGCTTTGTCCTTCCATTCTAAATGAAAACTTTGCTGGATAGAGCAATCTTGGTTGTATAGGCCTTTGGTTTTTATGACTTGGAATACCTCTTTCCAGCCCCTTCTTGCCTGTAAGGTCTCTTTTGAGAAATCAGCTGACAGTCTGATGGGAACTCCTTTGTAGGTGACAGTCCCCTTATCTCTTGCTGCTTCTAGGATTCTCTCCTTCATTTTAATCTTGGCTAATATAATGATGATGAGTTCCTTCTTGGGTCCAACTTCTTTGGGACTCTCTGAGCTTCCCGGATTTTCTGGAAGTCTATTTCCCTTGCCAGAACGGGGAAGTTCTCTTTTATTATCTGTTCAAATAAGGTTTCCACTTGTGACTGTTCCTCTTCCCCTTCTGGTACCCCTATAATTCAAATGTTGGAGCATTTAAAGATGTCCTGGAGGTTTCTAAGCCTCTCATTTTTCTGAATTCTTGTTTCTTCATTCTTTTCTGTTTGGTCATTTTTTTCCTTCCTTCTGGTCTACTCCCTTGATTTGAGTCCCAGTCTCCTTTCCATTACTATTGGTTTCCTGTGCATTTCCCTTCATTTCAATTAGTTTAGCCTTCATATGTTCCTCTAATTTGTGACTAAAATCAACCAGTTCTGTGAGGATCCTGATCATCAGTGTTTTGAACTGTGCATCTGAAAGTTTGGCTACTTCTTGGTCACTTAGAATTATGGGCTCTGGGGCTTTGAGTTCTTCTTGAGCCATGTTTTGGTCTGTT